TTTTCAATAGTATGTTTGTAAATGAACAATGAACGCCTAGATTAATAAAGGCAGTGAATAAATGTTGCTCATTGTTTGTTCATGATGTAATGAATTATCTGGTACAAATTGAACCTTATTGTAAAGTGTCACCTCATAAACATTTTTACATCACAAAATGCTAAGTTTATTCAACTATTTAAAGGGATAGTTCACCAAAAAAAAAAAATCATCATTAATTCATCCACATATCATTTCAAACCTGTATGACTTTCTTTCTTTCTTCTGTAGAAGACGTATTGAAAAATGTCTAGGGTTATTTGTCCATAAAATGAGAGATGGGGCAGTTTGTAATAGATAATGACAGAGCTGTATTTGCTCTTTCAGAGAGTAAATAGTGTTACTGTTGATGATATTGTCTCTGTTAAGCACTTTTTACCTCCTGCAACGCGAACACCTGGAGCAATAGCATCATTTGCGCTAATGATAGCTAATCCGCTCAATTAGCAAAGTACACATTTGTAATCTGGGCCTCTCTGCTAGCAGGCAAGTTTACATACTCTTCATCTTCCTCTTGCAGACTAATGCCCTACGACATTCACAGTACTGTGGCGGCACACAATCCCCTGTGGTAACAAGCTAACAGAGGAGCTGTTTCATCGAATTGTTCACAGGCACAACAAATGGCTTATTCTTTTCACATGTCCCTCTCCCTCTGTCTCTTTCTCAGTCTCGTTCTGCCTCTTTCCGTCTTTACCACATGAGACCGCATTCACCTATTTAGCCCATTAATTAGCTTGAACAGTTAATAGTGCTTCCCACAATAGCTACCTCAGCAGTTTTTGCTCAGAGTTGGTGTCACCAAATCAATATCAAGTCGAGCATAAAGCACTGGAGGAACTCAGTCGTAAGATGCAGGACTGTGCGCTCATGGCTGCTTCTCTCAACGATTTTTCTGTTAGAAGCAAGCCATCCCTGCACCAACATGCATAACACCATGTGATTTTTTTTTTTTCTGTACTTTATGATTGTACGATATTTGACACTAGTAAGTTTAGATTTAGGTAACAACTGAGCACTGACTGTTTTACATCACCAAAAGAGTGCAACAGTCGGGTTTCAGAAGTAAAAATCCTATTCATTTTCTCCTTGCAGGAGCTGATTTTGAACAAAAATGTATAAACCTTTAAAGACAGACCTACTGTGATTTACGAGGTTGTTAGTGGATGGCTTATGCGTTTGTTCTGTCAGTCTGTATTATTTCAACTTCTTTTTTAAAGCAGAATCCCTGTTGAAATCTGCATTACCCATGATTCCTCTGAGAAATCTCTACCAATCAGAGAATCGCGACAAAAGCTCTTGAGCACCCGCCCACTACCATGAAGCACAGTGAATGATGTAATTGAGTCTGTTTCCTTACTCTATCAAACTTCTTAAATAGTTGCATGCATAAAAAGCATATTTTGCAATAAAAACTCAAAATATATTATTTCTATATACAAAATTATTATCTTTAAATCAATAGTTTTGTATTTGTCCATTTTTATTTTATGTAATTCGCAATTTATTTTACAGTGTCCTTGTTACATGTACTTAGTAATAAGGAGACTCGTGCGCTGTTTTCTGTGCTGTGCACACATCCAAAGCGCTCACAGAAAGTTATTTTAATGTGATTTTAAACCATTCACGCACTGTTTTCTGTGCTGTTTCATGTGCTCTGTTAAAATAGCCTTGTAAACACAGTTGGTTAAAACGCATGTGCAACAGTATATTGGATCCGTGCAGCTCTTAAAGTGACAGCAGCCTAATATTGCTGCTGCTGTCTCTATTATAACATTAACAACAAACAACACAAGACAAAGAAACTTCACTTGCTGTTCTTGACTGTATAACTTATGTAACTTTGTGTAATGTATACTGTACATTTATTCATAAAGTGCAGTGTTATTTTACTTTTGATTACAGTTGCTATACCTGAATACCTGAAAATCTGAAAACACTGTTTATTTCAATCGTATCTTTGTTCAGTTGTATTTATTTGTGCAATTGCTAATTTTTTATTTGTTTTTTTTTTATTACTAAGTGTTTACTTGTCTTTAATAATGCTTGAAATGTATATTAGTTAGACTAGTTGCTTTTGCTATGGTATTTTTAAACCATAGGCAAAAAGTTCCTTGTGTAAGTGTTCTTTAGCCTGTTGGTTTTTGTTCATGGTATTCAGCTGCAACAAAATGTTTTGCAATAAGATTTAGAATAAATGTGAATGATATCAAAAAAAAAAAAATGTTTTACCTTATTGGAATCGAAATTAGGAATCGATAAGAAACGGAATCGATAAAATTCAGATGATACGCAACCATAGTCAGTATATATAATTACAGTGTAACAAGGGCACCTTAAGAGAAAGAGTAACCAAGTCATGAAGTTTACAGTCTTGTTGTCTGATGTTTCACCTCGTAGCTGGTGGTTTTGGTTCATGGCTTATAATTGTTAAATAAATACTTTTTTTAAAATCCCAATGGGAAAAATACTTCCAGAAAAAGTGGTTGGGCTCTGTTGTACTCTGTGTCATCCTTGACATGCTACTGCGCACAGCTAAATTACAATTGGTAGGCTCACGCTGGCTGAAAGAAGGATTTTGAGGTCATTTTTAGTACAATTGTAATAATGAGAACTCTAATGAACAATGTATTTATCTTGCTTATCTTGTAGACAAGTTCTTCATTTGACACTGGAGGACTGTTGCTCAAACTTCATCTGAGGCTAAGATTCATTGCCAAAGCAATTAACCCGCTGTCGATCATGTCACGCCAAGCAATCAAAGATAATTCCCAAAGTTCGTCTCAGACAGCAAAGCTGTGGCAAAAATCATATACAGTAGTGTGCACTGAGCTTACGTGATAACACACTAAGAATTCACCTCACATCTCGAGGAGAAGGAAGAATGCGTCTAGGATCTTGAAGAACAGAAATTGGAAAAAATCAAATCAAAAAAGCTTGCAGCCAGTTGCAGGATTTTCTTGTTTGCTTTTGCTGTTCTTGTTGTTTTCATTTAACAATGCAGCATGAGTGCTTAGCATTTAGATGACATGTTTGAGGAGAGGTGCAGCAGATCAGATGCACTGCGTGAAGGGTTTCACAGATAGCGCCAGGCTTCCAGGGCAGAGAGGCATACGGGCAGGCGGGCACTGGAAAAAACAGCTCTACCCATAGAATCTACCCACTGTCAACACCATTGTGAATGACTCGGTGACGAGCCAATCAGCACGGGTGCCAACGAACAGCTTAGAGTGCCTTCTGCATGCCAATGAATGTAGCGGCTCCAAGAGCCATGAGCTTGCCAATGAGGGACTTGAAGTCTTGAGGGGTTAAGAGGTTTTTATAAACATTGAATGAGCAAATGGAAAGTTGGAAGTTTCTTCAACTTGATCTGAGAGTACAAAGTCTTCAAAAAAAGCCCTGTAAAGTGCAGAATACAGTGCTGGGTAATTTGAGGTGCTTTGAGAGCATAAACCAGACAGCAGAGGACTTGTATTACCACCATTAGCAGGCTTGAGAGTGTTGCAGACAGTCAGGCAGTGTTGGGCAGCAACTAACTAAAATCACTTCTAACTTGGCCATATCTTTCAGTGGAAATTATGTAAATGGATGAATGGATAGAGAGAGATGGATGGATGCATGAATGGGTGGGTGGATGGATGAATGGGTGGGTGGGTGGCTTGTCTTTTGTGGGTCATTGTCAAGCGACAACCTTCCTGTCTCTCTCTTGAACACGGAAGTGACTTAAACCTCAATTCATCGACTGGCCACTAGAGACAGGCTCCAAAAGAGAGTCAATCCCATAAACCCCCATGTTAAAATGCCCAATATTACAGCAGAAAAAAAAATATGTACAAAAAGTGGTTTTGGTCTAAATCGCTAATTTTGCCCTTCATGACAACAGTGAGGGGGGTGATTTTTTTTTATAACACAAACGTTTACATTATATTAAGCCTTAAAGTTCTGCATAATTAAGGGCATGGCCACTTGAGTGACAGGTGGATTGCCACCGCTATCACCACTAGCCGTTTGTCTGCTGTCTGATAGCCGTCACGTCACCTCAGCTAATCGGTTAACCGGGAGTGATGTGCAATGACGCGCTGCCAAGAAGGAGACCGCCGGCTCTGCCCACTTTGGGCTTCAAAAATGCTCTTCAGAAACCTATGGGTGACTTCACGGACCCTATGTCCATATTTTCATATAGTCTATGGTCATTGTCAAGATAGAGATTTCAAAAATCTAAATTTCAGAAAGCTAAGTGGTAAATATTAACATTTTGACATTGCTACTAATCATGAAGGACAACTTGACTTTTGTTATTTTTATTTTATTTTTAGGAAAGGGTTGCAACACTGTCTATAAGTTCTCAAAAAAAGATGGTTTCAATATAATCTCAAAACACAAGCCACTGGTCAGATTCAGCTAAATAAATTTTAACACAAAAAATATATAACAAATTTTTTTTTTAAATGAACCAATGACATTTAAAATACCCTTATGGAAAATAACTTTTTTTTTTTAAATGGTAGGAAAATCACAATGTGCAAGTTTGAACAGCATCTTCTTACTCTGAACCTTGATTTTGGGAGTATTTTTCTACAATCTTTTAGTTTAGTGTTTGACATTGATAATTTTATATTCTAATTTAAACGCATTAAACTGAAATTAATAATTACTTTTTTGGGGGGGAAACTTGTTAAACTTATATCCTGGAAAACTATTATAAACAAATAAAAGAACGTATTCAGGTTCATGTTATTTAATAAATGGTTGTTATGGAATGATAGCTTTTATATGGAGTTTCTTGACCATTTTAAATCGTGTCACCATATTTTCCATATCACCCTTACGCCGTTTTTCATGTTATTTGGTATAATTTTAATGATGAAACATTTCTGACATTTATTCATTGATATCGTAATTAGAGATAACACAGTCGAGTGAAATATCTGACCTCTATTTTCTTTCTCTTTTTTTAATAGCCTCTGCCCAAGGAGCCATCCTAAAGGACTTCGAGATTGCCGTGAGGAGGTGAGTGGTGCTTCAGTAAGATTATCTCTTATTTGCTTTTCCTTAGTAAGTCATCACTGTCTCTGAATCTAATATGCGATGACGGAGGTCGTCGAGCGAGCAGGTCCGAAGCAGAACAGCGACAAAACGTGGCGAACGACAAGAGCGCTATCACAGCGTTTGCTTTAAAGCAACATGACAGATACAGAGCACAGGTACAGAGGTGGAATAAGGCAGAGCAGAAATCGAGTGGAAATCTTATCATTTATCCAGCCAATTGTGCCCTGGCGGCGTTGATGAAGTTGTGTTAAGAGTGACGCACCTGATCAGCAGAAGGGCTAAAGCAGGATTAGAGGGCAGCTGGGGGCGCCGGTTTTGCCGCGGATCGGGAGATGAAGGGAGAAGATGATGTTGCAGGACGTGAGCTGAAACCCAAAATCCCTTGTGCTCTGCCTCAGTAGTCATTGCAGATGGCCTGATGGTAGCAAAGAAGGAGAAACGGTTATATTTAACAAGATATATTTACATGCCAGCTGTTGTTTGTCTTTCCGTCATGCTTCAAGCGATTCCCATCGAGTGTACATGGCTTGGGAAAGACTAGTTTTGCAGTGCGGGAGGATAATATGAGGACAGACATTTGCATAAATGTATGTTAATCCTTGAGGCAATTAGCACCTGTCAGTTTCTGAGCAATAGCTTTCCAGTCTTTCTGTTACATGGCAAAATAAAATGCTGAATATTGTTCAGTTATAATAATAAAGTAATATAACACCAGTTTTTCTGTATTGAAAAGTGTCCTTTGGGAAACAATGCCTTTTCATGCCAGTGTTATTCCAACAGTCAAACTAGATTCGAGTTGAACATGCCTTTATTTCTTTGAAAAGCACTTTATTAAAAAGCTTGTCATAAGGGAAGAGTTTTTATTGAAAATCTCCATTATAAAAGGCTCCAGAGTGAGCACTTAAGGAACATCTCAGAGGGAAGCTGTTGTGTAAGACTTCTAGGGCGGATTGTAGGATTGTCCACGGTGGTTCCAGAAAATGTAATTCTCTATGGCCGTTCTGGTCAGTGTTATCACCATTTCCAACATAGTGCGTCCTCCTCTCTCTTGTGTATCACAAGTCAATCTCGAATAGATGGAGAAACAGCAAAGAGAGAGCCCCATAAATATTTACATGGAGAGGAACTGGAATGTACAAAATTGTGTACTGATTTTGGCAATTACATTGGCGTGCATAAAAAATTGATCTGGGTAATGTGGGAGAATGTCTGATTTACAAATCCCAATTGCGAGTTATTTATGAATGATAAATTCTGGGGATTGTTAGTTAAACAGCAATGAACTGATATGATCTTTTTACTCTAACTCAGGGATTCACAAACTTACTGCCTTAAAAAAAATGAGATAATTGTTTTCAATTCACCTATTTAGCCTGATGGTAGCCTTGACAACCTGTTTCCTTTACAATTATTATTTTTGGAAAACATTTTGACATTTCAATGTCTTTTATAAAATTTTAGAGTGAGTATAATTTATGCTCTACTCTGGAACTGGAACATTTCTTTTGCTGAAACTGTAGAATACGGCTCTGGCAATTGGCAACTCATGGGTTTGATTCCCAGGAAATACATGACGTGATAAAATGAATACTGTACCTTGAATGCATTAATGTGATGTAAGTCGCATTGGATAAAAGCGTCTGCTAAATGCATAAATGTAAGTGTCATCAACATTGCTGATGTGTAGTGTAAAACCTGCTAGCAAGCCATAGTGATCAGACAAATCACTGATGCAGAATCCAAATCAAGTCTCAAGAATAGAATGTATCCAGTAAGTCATATGTATTTAAAAATATATATATACTTGAATCATATTGTTGGCTAGGGTGGGACTCTTCATCTAAATATTAAAACCACTGAACAACTTTTCTGAACTTTTAGGCAAGTTGTTTTTATTCTGTAAATGCCCAGTCATTAGCACATTTTTCAGAGATTTATACAAAGTAAATTAATTGGTAACTGGTTAAATTGGTTTGCTTTTCCTCTAAACCATACCCTCATATGCCATATACTTAGATTTCACATCATTAAACGATTGTGCATTTCTTGCATCTTTCTGTGGAGAAATTTACTAATCCAAAAACCTGAAAAGCTTGTGTAACCTTTGGCTAAATATTAAAAACCCGACTACGCCACCTAGGCTACTACTCCACGCAGGAAAGTATAAAAATAATCAAAATACCAGAGACGTGACTTTCCAAAAGTATACAAAGTTTATTTCAACAGGAAACATTCATTTTAAAACGTCCTAAAAATAGATCTCGTCTACAGTTTACCAATTAAATACCCACAGTTGATAAGAGACCGAATTAACCAACTTTAACAGAAGGGACAAACCACACAGCAAATTAGTGAATAAAGGTTCTTAAAGCAAGTGATAAACAAAATAAAGAAACAATACCAAAAGAAAACAAATACACTCTTCTGCTAAGCCTCAGTATCACCGTTCAAATAAGTCACATGCGGATACTGGCAAATAAATGAAATACCAAGGAAAGGGAAACGAAAAAAAGAAAAGATTACATAGACAATCAAAATGTCACAATATTTAATATCACATTCACAACTAATAATATTTAAGATCGTTCAGGCTGCTTTGATGGACCAAACTACCAGCGTGTTAGTTTAATGGTAACGCTTCCTTTTACAGTACAGTACACTTACGTGTAACATGGGTTAGGGGTAGGTTTAGGGCTAGGTTCAGGGTTAGTACCTAGTTATTACCCAGTAATTATAGTTACTATAATAAGTACATAGTAAGTACATGGGTAACAGGTCTGTAAAAGGAAGCGTTACCAGTTTAATTTAACAGCCCATAAAACACGCATGTCCAATACTTCCACACCTTCATACAGACCGATTAGGGCAGAAGTCGTTAAAGAGCTCGGCCAATACAGCGGTTCGAAACCGCAAACGTCCACTGCAGCCAGCCGTACGAACAGGACGATGAAACAGCGACACAAACGGGTATATAAAAAAACAGCGCAAAACAGCAGCTAGCGCTCTGGGCCGCACCTGCAATAAGAATACAATGGAAGCACAAATAGTGCATCAATTTCAAAAGATTCCCCCCCCCCTCACAGAATAAGAGAAAACCCATAATAAAGTTTCTTACCTCTTAGACTACAGTGAGCTTTATGCTACCTGCGCTCGGCATTTCACGCACACACACGTTCCTAATGACAAACACATATTTACACCGTGATCTGTTACGACTAAGAGAAAGATCAATAAATCAAACGACTCACCAGGGAAAGCAACGGGAAATTTGACAGGATTTTTATCACGCCACTAAAAACTCGACGCACGTCCATGACTGAGCCACACAGGTGTGCTCAATATCAAGCCGTGGTTCAACACCAGTGGGCAGGTCTTCTCAATTAAAATATACAGAACCATTAAAAATGGAAAACTACTTATAATAAGGCAAGACAAATATTAAAAATACTCAACCTGTCACACTTGCAATGACTTCAGTCGTTATCATGCTTTTCCCTTTAGAATGCTGTTCCAAATATTTAATAATTCCTTTAGAAGGATGTAGTAACACTTGAGTAATTACTATCCAAAACCTTACAAAAACCTCAATGACTTCAGTCGATATTAGGGAGTTATCATGCTTTTCACTTTAGAATACTGTTCCAAATAGTTAGTAATTCCTTCTGAAGGATTTGGTAATACTTGAGTCATTACTAGTGGATTCCCATGATCTTCACTTTAGAATGAATTATACAATATATGCATTACTCTCATTTATTATGAACTGTATATTTCTTTGTAGGCCTTTGGGAGGTATAAAAACATAGTAGTAACTGATTAGCTAATAGTGAACTACCGCATTCAAGTGAGCACCATTGCATTCTAATTCGAGTTTCTTGTTAGTTAATATACTCTTTAAAACAAAGGTTCAAAAAGGGGCTTTTCACAGAGATGTCATAGAAGAACCACCTTTCAGTGAACGGTTCTTAAAAGAACCATTTTTTTCTTAGTGTGAAGAACATAGTAGTTACTAGAATGTTCATATTGTGTTACTCATTTGTTCCTGTGTAGTTATTCATTAATGACGGAACGGTATTCTAAAGTAATTATGAACGTTGATTAAAATAGAGCTGAGGACTGTACTAAAGCATGATTGTATTTAAAATAAGTGAATATCTTAGCAGGACAGCAGCTCGGAGGAAACGATACTGATTAGCGTACAGGCAATGTTATTTACATATTTAATTTTAATTCTCCAAATGTGAATTAACACTCAGACAGACAACGGGTGGCATAATTTTCCCTTTAAAAAAACTGCCATGCGATGTGCGCAGCCACGTTGAAAGGCCTGCGTGTAACAAAATAATAATTTTGCTAAGGCTTTCTTGCTAAAGAACACGGGCATTCACGCTCTCCCATTTCCATTTTTCAAAAAGCATGTGCCTTTCAAAGCAGATGCTGTCATATAAAAATCATCATTCACTAAGTAAACACAAACAAAAGAGCCACACAAGATCAACAAACATGAAAAGACGAGGCAGGAAAAGGTAATGCATGTCGTTTTTTCTTGCCTTTGATCATGCCGCAAAATGCATTTCCCTAATGTCCTCGTCGATGCTTTTCTCTTTGTGTGTGCACAGGTTTGCTGACATTCACAGGAGCGACGCCAAACAGGAATCATCCATCAGCCCCCACACATTTGTGTCCATCCTCTCATCTCGGAGCTAAAGCCCAAATCCACATCACCCTCAAACAGGAAATGGAACCCGTGCACCATCAGTCAAGCGTCTCTACTGTTACATGCAGGTCATCGAGTCCCAGCGGCCACCATCATCTCACAGCAGGGGACGTGCAACCTTTCTTAGTGAAACCCTGACATAATTCAACCGTTTCTGTTTTGATCTTGAGATACATTGGCTAGGAGAACATTTCACTCGCTTTCCAGTTAACCAGACAGTGAAGACTGTTCGCGCAAGATTATATAAGTTCCTTGTGAACAGCTGCGAGGGTGTTGCTTAAGAACGATCTTGATGGACCCCAACTGCGTCTTCATGTCGTCGACAAAAGGCCAAGGATGCGCAGAGACCTTTAAATATACACCAGGGATCACCTCTGTGTAAAGGGATAGCGTGTTTTCCTTTCAAATAGAGAATTGAGAAAAGCGGACAAAGCAGCAGATGACTGATGTGTCCTGTAGATTTGACCTCGCGTGGTTTGAACATATGGATTGTGTGCTGTTGAGCTCTGTCTGCGAATGGCAATGCACTGATGCCGTCAACTCTAATCATTGGTGATTTAAAGATTAGCAAACAATGTGTGGATGTCATCTGTCCCTTCCTCTCTGGGGCGTCTCTTTCACTCTCTGCTTTAAATGTCTGTCTCTAATGGATATATCGTTTCTATCAATACTTTATTTTGACTGTAAATTGACACTTGCGATGGGATGTTGACCTAGATAGGAAATAAAGGGTGTGTCCATGTAAATGTGCACAACGCTTTGAGGAGTCTCTCCATGGGCCAAGCTGATTCGCTGCTTAAAGTCAACATGAAGTCGTAATGCATCGTTTTGAGTTATTAAGAAATATTTCTGGTCTTATTGGTTGTCTTATTATATAGTCCATCCTTGCACATAAATGCGTAAAAACGGATGCTTTGCAAATGCTGATTCATGTTTTCAAACAGTCAAAATTGACCTACTTAGTAGACATTGGTAGCCTGACTTCGTCATACTCATATTCTAGTCAGAATGTGAGTCTGATACTGCTCCATAGGGCTTTGATTATGAGGCGTGTCTTAATGGAACCAGGAAAAAAAAACTCTGCACTCAATTGGATAGACCTACAACCAATCAGAGCAACGCAGTAAGTGACGTATGTTGAGCGACAGTTGTCAACAGAACTGAACGGCACTCACTCTGGAAAAAATATGTAAAAAAAAAAAAAAGAGTGTTAACGACCTTTGCCGGTGTTGCAAAAATAATTTAAGGATTCAAGGAGTACTTGCAAACTCGAACAATATTTTTGAAAGAAATAAAAAGGTGAATGTATTTACGAACAAGTTCTCCGTTTAGGATTAGATCTCGACAATAAAGCCTGCAAATCTGCTCGCATTTGTCGGTCGTGTCTCAATTTCATAACACGGTTGGAGCGCGACTTGACTAATTTTAATAAATGGAGAGACGACGAAAGAGACCAGGATGAAGAAGCGTGTTCATTTGAGTCTTCTGAGACCGGGAACCTACCCCTTCCAAAACGCCCCGGGCTCTGAAGAAGTTTTGCCCCAATCCTTCAACTCCTACCGGTACAAGAACGCGAAAAAGCATGACAGAGGTAATAAGCTTTTTATTACATTTTTACCTAAGGAGAAACCACAATGACAACTGGGTTTTCATTGCGTCCCATCTTTTTAGCGACCATCGGAGCCAGCAGATAAATTAAACTTTTGCCGAATCCTGTAGGAAGGACGGCAAACACATCTTGACGATCGACAAATGCCTTTATTGCCGTTCTCTGTTCGTCTTTTAAAATTAATGCGCTGTCGATTTCTTCTAAAACAGAAACGATAGCAGAATCTATACATCTCAGTTATCCAGCGGCAGTCATCTTTGTTGTAAACCAGTTCAAACCAAGCGCTCTTTGATGACGTGAGGATTACGTAACTGCAGATCATCTGTCCATCATCGTATAAAGCCCGCCCTGGCAATTTGATTGGTCCGAACATTTTTTGACTGATCATAATTACTCCTCAATGGATCGAGTCCAGACCGAACTTCCCGACCAAACATTGTTGTGGGCGGGGTTCGGGCTGGCAGCCAGGCTAAGACATTGGTCCTATTGTGCAAAATTCATTTTTTGGTTTGACGTCACCAAGTCCACTTATACCTCATCCAACAGGTGCCAGTGGCATTTTAGGTGTTGAGTAATCCTGCTCGACTGGCTGCAAATTTTGAACCATCGATTGAATTCCAGTGGCTAAAACCTACAATATTTCCTGTATTGTAAATACATGGTAGAACTTAAATAGTGCTGTGTCATGTTGACTTCAAGTAAGGGAAAGATGCGTCTTTGTGTTTTGCTCTTTGTTTCCTCTAAAGCAGTCTGCTTTTCACAAAGCACACAGATCTATTCTCAAATCGGTTCTCCACATGGCCAGTGAAGAAGATCAATCCATATGATGAACGTAACTGGTTTCATGTAGCAGAGAAAATAGCCACTGTCCCGGGAAGATGAAAGAGTAAAAGAATATGGTCACTTTCAGTGAACAGTAGTAATTCATCAGTCTCACGAGCTAGGCCCGGCTCCCTCAGTTGTGAATTTTAATGGTGTTTTTATGGTTCCTAATAAAGTCTGTTATGCTTCTGGCAAATATGCAGAGCACGACATCGCTCGCTTCCAATTACTGAGAAACTCAAGGAGATTCAGTGTTCATTCGTTATGGCGTATAGTTATTTAGGAATAGCAGGACTTTCTCTCTTTCTCTTTCCTTCTCTCATGAAATCTCTCTTCCAGTGTATGTGGAGTGGAGTGACAGTGATTTCTTTTCCTCCCTCAAAGTGTTCCATAATCACTCTTGTCCAGATTCATTCCAGGTTTTCTATTCTTAGTCCTCGCTCGCTTCCCACTTCACTCACTGGTGAGAGGATCCAAGGGGTCGAGGTTTGGCTGGTTTAGCATGGTCCAGTTTGCCCCTGCTGGTAGATATTGTAACTACACCATCTGATCCAAAACAGCATTTTTTTGAGGTGGCAGTTGTGGCCTAATGGTTTCTAACCCGAAGGTCGCGGGTTCAAGCCTCAGTACCGGCAGGAAATGTATGTTGGGGAGTGAATGAACAGCGCTCTCTTCCACTCTTATTACCCACAACTGAGGTGCCCTTGAGCAAGGCACCAAACCCCCAATCGCTCTCCTGGGCGCCGCAGCAAAAATGCCTGCCCACTGCTCCAGGTGTGTGTTCACGGTGTGTGTGTGTGCACTTGATGGGTGAAATGCAGTGCACAAATTTGGCTACACGTCATGTCACTTTTTTTATTGACGCCATTGAAAATAACCTGTTATGTTTTTTTTTTTGCAAGCAGCATTTAAATAGTATTTCTTAATAGATATTTTACTTTATATTTTATCATATTTATTATACTTTTCTGTCTGCTGCCTTTGAAACCACTCCACCGGATAGTAACTAATGAAGTCCGTTTCCATCTCAGAGTAAAAATCACAATATTTTTGTTTTGTAACGCAAGCAACATTTGAATAGTAAATATTTCATTTTATTAGTACCAGATATTAACCTTATTTCTTATCATTCTAATATATCTTATTGTATTTGTCATAATTGTGACTTTTTTTATTTTTTACACACTGAGGCAAAAACAGGCTAATACGTATAGGCTGTCCATCATTATTTTGTATTTTTGTTCATTGTTCTTGAAGTAATATTTCACAAAAATATTTCTTTCAGAATCCTAACACTGTTTACTGCACGACGGTATTGGAGCGATCCTGGAGCGATGGTCTGACTTTCAATAAAACGCTACTCGCTCCAGGCAAAAAATCTCACAACTCTGCATCTCTCCACAGCGCTCACATACTCTGCTGTCTTTGAGTTTATCCCTCAAGTGCTGTTGTTTAAAGCCTGGTGTGACAGCATTATTCTTTTACATTTCAGATGACATGACATCCCAATGTGATCCTGCAAGTCCTCAAGGCTTCTGCCTCCACTGTACCTGTGATTTATTATTTATCAATAGGAACAACCTCATTAATGGCCTGAAAGTCTTCAACATCAACCTCATCAGCATCATTCCTGTGATTCCTAGGTGACATTTATGTACATATTTGCTCATTGTGAGTAGTGCTTGTGGTTATCGGATCAATAAGGCCATAACATGAAATCACGAGTGCAGAACGGTCCTGAGAGGTTGCGTTATTACAGCAATATCTCTGCCGTCGGCCCGCTGTATCAAGCTCCAGCACACTCGTGTGATCTATCTATCAGTGCTAACCATGAATGAAGCCATCATCTGTCACATTCTCATGACTTAAGACCGCATATGGATACAGTGCATGTAATTCTGATTTTACCAGGACTTGAGCATGTTCTGCAGGATGCTGATGTTGAAGGAGTTGAGGATGTGTCGCTTCACTATTCCAGGGCTTCTCTGGTAGTTATCCACCCGGAGGCATCTGTCATTAAGTCTATATAACACAAGCATAATTGGGGTTTATGCCCGGATTAAGAGATCGTTACACTTAATTACAATGAATCATGGTGCTCGATGATGTCTGGGCCAGCTGATATAAAACAGCCGATAATGTGAGAAAGAGAGAGGCATGCAGAGACATAATTACCATTCTTTGTCATCTTTAAGATCTTGATATTTAAATTACATGCACAGGATTTTGTAATCCATCGATTTTTTTTTTTGATTTTTTTTTTTTGAGCGCTCAATTCCATGTAAGACTTCCATAAGAATTTCATAAGACTTCTTTTTTTTATCAATGCAGTAATAGCAGTACAAAATGTCTGTAAGTGTGAATTTCATTTCCACCTGAGGCAGTCCGTTTTGCATAACACTCAAAAGCCCAGACATTATAGCAGCTCGAGTACGTTGAAATCTAGCTGAGTGAGTTCTGAAATTACCTGTAATACAGAAGATTTAACACAGAAAATGATATACGGGTGAATCAGGTTGATTGAGACACATTTTTCAAGACATCTCAACGGCAAAAAAGTCTCCCTGAATTCCCTCCAAATACGCAACTCCTTGCTGGATTTGATGGGGCGTCAGATTTTACTTTGTTTTAAAAAAGCAATGAACTCTCAGGGACGAATTCATTAACATTCACTAAACACATTATTTCAGTGCACAAACCTGTGTTTTCCTCACAAATCACCCACTAAATGCATAGAGTGCAAACATGCAATTTACTATAGATTGCATCTTGTTTACAAAATTCAGTGCTATTTGCTTGGTCCAATTATACT